GAGGCCTCTGGAAATTGGTAAGGCTGCAAATGGGTTGTACTTATTGCATTCAGCTGATCCACAACTTCCTACTCTTGTTACTTGTTATGTTTCTAATTCTATTCATAGTATTATTTCTGCTGTTGTTTTCAATTCTCCTGAACATTCTGTAACTCATAGTTCCACTTGTAATCCACATGTTGTTGCTAATAAAAGTGATTTGTTTTGGAATCAAAGGTTGGGTCTTATTCCATTTACTAGAATGAAATCTATTTCTTTCTTGTCTGATAAAATTTCATCTAAACAACCATTTTTGTGCATTGTTTGTCCTATGGCTAGACAACATAGACTGCATTTTTATGATAGTACTATACATTCCTATGTTCCCTTCTAACTTGTTCACATTGATATTTGGGGTCCTTACAATACTTTAACTTACAGTGGTTTTTGATATTTTCTGACTTAGTTGATGAGTTTACTAGAGTGACTTGGACTCATCTTTTATCTTGTAAGAGTAATGCTCTTTCAATACTTAAAGCTTTCCTCCAAATGGTCAAAGTGCAATTCTAGTCTATTGCTCAGTGTTTCAGGTCTAATAATGCATCCTTCCCATCCTTGTCTTCCAGCCCCTGAAGTTAGAAATCTGGCAGAACTGTTAATCCTCAAGTATGTCTTAAAGATTATGTTTGCACCTCTATCATCCCTTCTCCTCTTCCTGCTTCTTTATCCACTAAGGTGTCTAATGTTGATTTGCATATGCATGAACCTCAATTTTATCAACAAGTTATTTCTAATCCTGCTTGGCAAGAGGCTATGATCTAAATATTTCAGGCCCTTGATGTAAATCAGACTTGGGATATTGTTCCCCTTCCTCCTCATAAGAAGCCAATACCTTGTAAATGGGTATATATATAAAAGATAAACTGAAGTCGGATGGCACTATTGAAATATATAAAGTAAGATTAGTGATTAGAGGGGATACCCAGAAAGAAAGGATAGACTATACTGAAATATTTTCACTAGTTGCCAGACTCACCACAATCATATTTTTACTTACCTTGATTGGTAAGAGAGGGTGGATTGTTTTCCAGCTGGGCGTCAATAATGCTTTCTTACATGGTGACCTCCATGAAGAGGTTTATATGAAGATTCCTCCTGATCTTGTGGTATCTGAATCTTCCTCTTCCTCTCCCTTGGTTTGCAAACTCAAAAAATCACTTTATGGACTTAAGAAAGCATCCAGATAATGGTTCGCTAAATTGTTTGAGTCTTTGGTCTCCAAGGGTTATGCATCTAGTAAGAATGACTACTCTCTCTTCACTAAGACTTATGGATCCTCCTTGGTGATGATTGTTGTTTATATAGATGATATTTTGTTGGCCGGTGATGATGTGAGTGAATTGAATTCTCTGAAAACTTTTCTGGATGACACTTTCAAGATAAAGGATCTTGGAACTGTTCATTACTTCCTAGGTTTAGAAGTCATTCCTCATCAGCAGGGTTATCTTATGAGCCAATAAAAGTACACCTCTAACCTCCTAGCTGAATTTCATTATGAAAATTTCACTTTTGTTTCTATCCCTTTGGATCCCAGTGTGAAATTGGTTGCTGATATGGGTGACCCCATTTCTGATCCTAGCACTTATAATGAGGTTGGTTGACAAGCTCAATTTTCTTCAATATAACAGGCTTGACATCTCATTTTCAGTCCAGCATCTCAATCAATTCTTACAGACTCCACATGTTGCTCATATGCTAGCAAATCTTCATGTCCTGAGATATCTAATGAATGACCCTATCCAAGGTCTTCTCTTATCTGCCAGCTTTGATTTCTCTCTTCTAGCCTATTCAGATTCAGATTGGGCTGCTTGGATTGCTTGTGCTTTTCTCCAAAAGATTCATAACGGGTTGTTACATCACCTTGGGGGCAGTCCTATTTTCTGGAAGAGTTAGAAGCAGTCTATTGTAGCACTTTCTTCAGCTGAAGCTGAATATCGAGCTTTGAGAATGGCTGTGACTGAGATTTCTTTGCTGGTCTGCTTGTTTGGTGATCTTGGCTTGCGTATTTCTGGACCTATTTTCCTCTTTTGTGACAACCAAACAACTTTACATATTGCCAAAAATCCTGTATTTCATGAACGCACGAAGCATATTGAAGTTGATTGTCATTTTGTATGTGATAGTCTACATTCAGGTTTGATTTCCTTGTTGTTTGGCCCCAATTTTGCTGAGCTTGCATACATGCTGACCAAGCATCTACCTGGACCTCTACATCCTCACTTCCTGTGCAAGCTTGGAGTGTCTACACCCTCCAGCTTCGGGG